AAGCTATTATGTTTAATTAGATACAAAGCAAAATTTGCAAATAAAAAAATCCTGGACCTGTTTTATCTGTATATGAAAACATCCAACACACGAGTTAAAGTTACATAATTAAAACCCATCTTAGTTCAAATCTTTTCAGTGTTTCGGCATTGCACTTCGGTCCTGATGATGAAGCATTGACCTTACAAAACGCTTTTGTAGTTTTTATCGCTCTCACAGTTCACGGTTTAATTTTGCAGATGTTGCGACAGTCATACTACACTATACAACCGAAAATCAAACTGTCTTATTTAGAATAAAGATTGTTTGTGATGCCATAAATTATAGATATACGTGCCTGAAATTCACTAGACCCGAAGTTTTTTATGGGCCTAGTCCGATCACGTACAATTCTGCAGTTGAAGATACAGGAATACGTTCATCTAAAATATTTAATCTGCTCTAACGTATACCCTCGTATGGAACTATGTGATATTTACTTAATTTTAATTAATATCTCATATGGAAAGTCAATGAACAGTAATATTTATTTCCAATAACTACTTTGAAGTAGAGCACTATCAATGGAACATTGTAATGCAATGCGCCTGGCTAAATTTCAGTACTTAATCTAAATATCTACTACTGAAATCACAAAACTAAAAAAGAGAAAGTTCTGAGGGGTCAAATTAAACAGAACATAACTAAATTTGTTCTAAATCAAAACTCTGGACTTTAGAACCATATACATATAATTAACATTTCTAGTTCAGAAGATATGCGCAGACAAACTGACAAAAAAACGGAAACTATAACATTTTCGATCGAACATTTGAGCACAAAACAGTAGAGAAATCTTTTATATTTTTTCATAACAATAAATAGAGCTAAAGAAATTTAAGTAGCATTTAGATCAGAAAAGATTTGTTTAAATTCCGACCAGATTTTACTTTCAACTAATAAATATAATTTACATAAAAAATATTGAAATACATACATAAAACCAAATCTTAAATTTGTTGTGAAATTACTTAGAAATATTGAATAATTAGCTAGATTTCGAAAATGCTATTACTACACAAGGGAAAATATTTATTTCATAAATCTTAAATTATTATTTATATCCAAAGAACCTGCGACGGTAGAGAACACACACAGCAAATACATCGCATTTTAGCACTCGAATATAAATCGCAGTAATTATAATTAAAAATACGAGACGTCTCGAAAGATTATGATTATCAAATAAATACATCATATTATATATAAAGAATAGTAGATTCTTTGTAATCATCAAATTACATAGAACTGATAAAACAGAACAGAAAATGTGTTCATGGAATGCAAATTCTTACGAACTGCACAAGTATCGCAATTAAAAACTTTCGATAACATTAAATGGGCGGGATATACAAACGCAGTAACTGATATATATATATATATATATATATATATATATATATATATATATATATATATATATATATATATATATATATGTATATATATATATATATATATATATATATATATATATATATATATATATATATATATATATATAGGGTTTATTTTCCGAACAATTAATCCAATAAATAAAAAACAATAATTATTTTTTGTAGATGTCTAATTACGACGTTTCGGAAGTAGAATTTTTTTTATAAAGGAATGGATTATGCACTTTTTTTAAAAAAATTAAGCATAAAAATATAAACAAATGTATTGAGAAGCAAATACATTTACCTGCAAATATTGATTTATATTATATTCATATCACTATTTTTTATATGTATGAAGCACTTTTGAGAAGCACAGTATGAAGTGCTTCATACGTATAAAAAATAGTGATGTGGATATAAAAATTAATATAACAGGTAAATAATTTTTGCTTCACAATTTATTTGTTTATACTCGTCTTAAAATCTAAAATATAATTTTAAAAAGTGATTTATAAATTCTAACTATTAAGTGTAAAATTAAATTAAAAAAATAGCTTGTAGTCCAGTCATTTGGTGCAAAAAAGGGTTGTTGCCGGTACAGTACTCCGGGAATTCTGAAAATTGGTAATCTTATAGATTTCGAGGTGCTCTTTACGAAAATCAACTTTGCCACCTCAAATTTGAACGGCAAGTTGCCGCCATATTGGAAAAATGGCGTCAAAAACCAGCTTTTTTTAAATATCTCCTTTCTGGCTCATTCTACTATAAAAGTATCTATGTACGAATTAAACTAGATAAAATTTCCTACAATTCTTTAGAAAACCGTTTTTTTGTAAAATTGATGGTTTGAGAGTACGGCCGCCTCAAAGTCTTTGCTGCTCTAGCCGCAGTATCAAATCTCTTCATATATGACAGCACTTTGAACTTGACCACATTCTCTCTAATAAATAAATATTTTCAATTTTAAATTAAGAGAATAAGATCAGAAAATAAAATAATTGAAATATTTTTGTTTTTTGCTGATTTTTTAACGTAGCTTCAATAGCAAAGTAGCTATAAACAAAATTAAACTAGAGAAAGCTTTCTATAATTTATTCAATATTTTTAATTTTGTTAAACCAATTATTTTGTTTCTAGATCTTATTCACTTAATTTAACATTGAAAATATTTATTTATTAGAGAGAATGTGGTCAAGTTCAAAGTGCTGTCATATATGGAGAGATTTGATACTGCGGCGAGAGCAGCAAAGACTTTGAGGCGGCCGTACTCTCAAACCATCAATTTTACAAAAAAACGGTTTTCTAAAGAATTGTGGGAAATTTTATCTAGTTTAATTCGTACATAGATACTTTTGTCGTAGAATGAGCCAGAAAGGAGATATTTAAAAAAAGCTGTTTTTTGACGTCATTTTTCCAATATGGCGGCAACTTGCCGTTCAAATTTGAGGTGGCAAAGTTGATTTTCGTAAAGAGCACCTCGAAATCTATAAGATTACCAATTTTCAGAATTCCCGGAGTACTGTACCGGCAAAACGACCAAATGACTGGACTATTGAATGCAGACAAAAATCAAGTTTTGTAGAAGCATAATTTTTAAATGCACGATATAATTGTCTTTAACGACATATCCTTTGATTTTTTCAAATTCTTAAGATTTTCAAATTAATAAATTCATAATTATGAAATATACTTCTTAGATTTTGTCACAATATTAGTTTCTTACTATTCCTGGCTAAAAAACTAAAGAAAAGAATATTTTATATACCTTACAAAATAGTATAATGGTTTACGCAAAAAGATATAAGTATACGAAGAATACTATATGAAGACGTTATCATTAGTTATATACTATATGAAGACTTCATGAAGCATTAAAACTGAATAGAGAAATATTTTTAAAATGTTTTGGTATGCATTCTATCATCTTGTTATTGGTAATATCTTATCGTTTCTTTTGATTTATGAGACCTGATAAATTTATTTGATGCTTTTATTGCTATACAGATCAATCTTAAACTAGCATTTAAAGCAAATGAATATGTGAGTCAGAAATGATTATGTATATGAAAAATTATATTATGATTCACTCAGCATCACATAAACGTGATGTAATACCCATAGTTATCATAACTAGTTAGAAAATATAAAAAAATGCGGACATACAAAACACACACATCCATTTTTTCTGAGGTATGCCTTAAAATGTTCAGAAACCTTCAAAACGTCAAGAAATCCAAAAATTTTCATTTCCGATTTTCGGCCCATTACTATAACTACCCTACGGGAAGTTAATAAATGCAATATCCGTAAATTTTGAATTTTCAATCTTAAGTTTTTGACTGAAATTACATGATACAATTTCGTAATTTTTCTTAATGGCATTGGAACAGCTAAGCTGATTTGGATGATTCAGAAACATTCGATTCGCTCTAACAATGCGCAAACGATTTATGACCAAATTGAATGCGTGAAATTGGCTATTTAGGAAAAAGTGTAAAATAAGAAATTTTGCAGCCAGACATAAGTATATAAAATGTACATCAAATTTACAATATATAGAGAATTTAATGTTGCCTAACAATAAGTTTTCGATAAGATAATAAAAATAAGATACATTTAAAAAACATTTTAACTATTCAAGTTAATGGGCCGATTCTGCCGTCAAATAAACTAATGTTATGGCAAGGCTATATTACGCTGCGTTTTTTCATATAAAATGGTACTTCTAAAACTGTCAAAATGCTATGTATTTGCTGTACGTTTTACACATAAAATATAACTTCTCGCATATAATATTATGGCACATCAGAAAGATGCACTTTTGGTAAAGTTTTTTTGACGTTTGTGCGTTTTCTAGGACGGATATTATATCTAAATCGCCTGACTGCGCAGCAACCACATAGAATTTTGACAGTTTTTAGTCAATTTACATGAAAGCCATTTTATATGAAAAACGCAGCGTAACATAGCCTTGCCATAACCTTGGTCTATTTTGCGGCAGAATTGACCCATCTTCTGGTTAAAGATTTAAATCGGTAGTATTGGCTTTTCAGATAATTAAAGGTTTGGTAAAAATTTAGCTGTCATATAATATTAGAGTTTTTCAACAAATTCTATTACATAGTTTCATTTTTAGTTGTTATAAAACCAGTTCCAGTAATTCAGGACACAATGCCATATACCTAATAGCTCTAATATGCGATATTCTTTGTAATATTATGTAAAATGTGAATTATATTTTTTTATTTCAAACTATGAACCAAACAATTTTTGAAAAATATCAAAATATAAAATAAAATAGAATTTCTGCATTTATGATCAATACCGGACGCCGGACATAAGATTTTAACACAAATGAACCAAAGCATTAATCATAATCAAGCAATATAAAAAATCGAATGACACTTTAAAATATGCCTTGAACTACTATTAATCTATATTAGGTATTAACATGTAATTTTATTATTCACAAGGGTGGGATGTAAATCAGTGGGTAAAATTCGAAGAATACAAAATTTGTTTAAAAATTTTCTATTAATTATGTTGAAAATAATATTCAATTCATTTTCGCTCTATACATACCTAGATTTTCGTGGTTAATATTGTGCCTAAACAGTCAATTCAAAAAACATGCTTCAAAAAGTACGTGCAGTCTGCACGTGCTTGCACAGGAAAAAAACTGTAAATAAAGAAGAAAATAGAATTTTAGATTTATTAAAAAAACTCAAGTACATATATAAACATTCACACGCACACACATATACTAACTATATATACACGTGTGTAAAAACTTATTACAATATAATTGTTTCGGAATAGAATAATTACTAGAACTAAAAATATAGGCTTTAAGCTAATTGTGCAATATGTTGCAATTGTTCAAAAAATAAAATATAAAAAAAGTTATTTTTTTATATTCATATTTATGACTATATCCTTCGAAATCTTGCTAAGAAAATTATGCGTAAAGTTGAATTTTTGCGGCTCCTCATAATATACAGACTCTGTTTATTATGTTAGAAATTAATTTAATTGATCAGTTCTCGATTTTATTTCATCAATTATTTTTGCTTCATAAATTAAATAATTAGGATTAAATAATTAGGATCGAAATTGAAAATTTTTACATTTCTCGACGTTTTGAAGGTTTCTGGCATACCTCAGAAAAAATGGATGTGTGTGTGTATGTATGTATGAATACAAATTTCCAGTAACGTTTTCGGGCGCACGGATCAACCAATTACGGAGATAAGGAGCAAAGAGTGCAGAAAATAAAAATCGAGTTTTTGAGAGAATGGAGCATCCGATTTGAATGATCTAAAAAAACGTTCAATTAGTAATGATTGAGAGAAGTGTCTATTAGTTTTTGGCAAAGGCAGGCCCAGCCATTTCGAAGATACGGAGCTAAATGTGCAAAAAATGGCAGTTTTTGAGAGAACTAAGCGTCCGATTTAAATGATTCGAAGAACTTTCTGCTTGTCTTAACAAAATAATAGATTTTGGAAAAAAAATTGTTTCAACTTTTTTTTTTCAAAAAAATTTTTTTTTTGTATATCGACAATAATTCAGATTTTAATTTTAATTCTGACTATAGTTCTAATATACTTTGAACAAATAATTTCATCTTTGCAATTCAGTTTATATAAATATTAGACAATGTTACAATATTAATAATAATCTATTTGAAAACATTCAGTATTCCTCGAACATTTCGTTACGCTACGGGAAGTTCCAGCAATTTGTCTTAAGGCACGATGCCATACACCCCACTAGTTTAAATTTCGGTTAGGAACAATATCGGTGTCAAAAAATACCGCAATTTCAAAAATATTCCACTGTCCCGAGTATATCAAATGTGGCTAGCAACTTCCGGCCAAACTCGACTCATTTCATCTGTTATTATGTTCTATCTGCTACTTTTTAACACGTGCTTCAACTTAACACTAATAATAATATTTCAAAATCCTTTACCCACATAATGCAAGCGCGTCTCCTATAAATAGCGTTAAGTAAGAAAACTAACGTTCATGTGTTTTGTAAAAATAAATGCACATAAAAGGATTCGCTGACGAATGACTGTCGGACACGAAGCGGATTTCGTCTTCGAAAAGCATGCGACAGTACCACGCAAAAGCGCACGTTTCATCGTTTAATTTTTACAATGTCCCAAAAATGTTGTTTTCTATTGAAAGGACCATGTTTGAGAGCATGTTAAAACTATCAATCATTTTATTATTGTGACATCATGCCGGCCGTGGCTCCGGGGCGAGAACGTGGTCGAGCAAACACTGGTTACGGATTCCTCGGCTAGCTTGATATGAAGCAGTGATATTCATGTCGAGATAAATGAACAAGTAGAAATGGCCTTAAATATCACCAGAGAGAGTATAAACAACCACTATGTTGCTTTCTAGTAACTAAGCATCAAAACCCATCATAAAAAGATATGGTTCTGAATGCTGTTCAAATATACGAGATAAAAATTAATCATTATAACAGCAAAAAGATAACATCAATAGTCGGGTATATATACCCAATTCTATTTTTGATATAGTCATTCAGAAAAATAATAATATTCAAATAATATAAATGCACAAAATAAAATAGTAATAGACAGTATAATATATGCTTTAAAAGTTAATTAAATGAACTAAATGCAATTTGCAAAGTAAAATATTGGATCTATACATGGATGATGTATTCTTGATCAATTTAAAAGTTTCCAAATTAAATAAGTCTAATCAAGTAAGATACAAAAGTTTCATTTAATCATTTATTTAAAATAAGTTTGCTTTTATAATGTAATATGGGAAATTTCGTGAAGTTAGTTCAACGATCATACATAAATCTCATTATTTCAATATTTATATTTTATTAATTACATCAGTGTAATTAGATTAATTAGCATTATTATGTAAATGGTATAGTAAATATAATACTCAGAAAATCAAATAATTAATTGTATTATTCATTTAATATTTGCGCTGTTTAAAATTCAAAAACCAATAATTAATACAGAATAAAAATTCAACACGATACATGTTTTAATAAGATTATTATTATTTCCAATACAAAACAGGAAGGGTAAGTTTAATTGAGCAGTAATAAAATAAATCATGATTTGATTTATTCTAGTAATTAATAAAAAATAAGTTTAATAATATGGGAAATATAGAGATTAAGAATGTCTTATTATAGATAGGTAATAAAACAAATCATAGTTAGTAGTATAATAATATAATATAACACATCTCTATAAAAAAACAAACAATATAACTTTAAATCTTGCTTTCACACAAAATGTAAACAATCCCATAAGACATTGTGCGCGTAAGTAATATAATTATATCGAGCCAGATGTCGTAAGTTCACGGTGTCAGTATTTATAAATCATATCTTGTACTTTTATCGTTCTGTAGCGATTCATATGTCAGCTCTATTGAAATATGAACTTTATTACAATATTGATACAACTTTAAATTAACTGTTCTAGTAATACATATTTCTGACATTTATTGTATATTCAAAACATCTTCTACTAGCATTATATACAGAGATAGACAAATGACATGTAAATTTGATTTTAAAAATAACTGATGTCAGCTGTTGTGATAAAGACCAAGCTGATAGAGACTCTTGCTGGAATAACTGTATGGCATTTTAAATTGATGAATGAAAATAATGGCGAAGGTAAAACTAATGCTATCTGCCATTAACTAAAAATGCTGCTTTGTGTTTTCGCTACTGAGAATTGTGCAATTATAGTGCAGTCTCAAATGGCGCAGTCAAAAGAGTAGTGGATTATTATAAAAAACTAGCTGTAAGTGGAATTCTGTCTTAAAGCAATTAAGGCATCGTGCCTTAAGGCAAATTGCTGGAACTTCCCGTACCAAGAATTATTATTTTTTTAAAAACGATTAACATTTTTGAAGAAAATTTACTTTGAAAAAATAAGATTTTTGAGAAACTATAAATTGGACAAAAAATTACTTTTTTTAGAAAAAATTTTTTTTAAAAAAAAAAAAAAATTTAATTTTTTTTTTTGAAAAAAAAAAATTTTTTTTTCTTTATTTTGACATATTGTGGAAGATCTGAACTTTTTTTCAAAGCAATCGTACTGCTTTAACTGCATAGAGACAAAATATAAAGCGCGTATGCGACGCGTCGCTGTCTAACGCATAAGCATTGGTACGGAACCCATAGGAATGTTAACAAAATGTATACTTATTGTTAAAATCTCTATAAAATATCTGATAATTTGATGTGCATATGTCTAAGGATCATTTTTAACCGCCGAATGGCATTTTTTTTTTACTTTTTTCATTAAATCTCCGAAACCGCTAGACCTGCCTTCATGAACATTTGAACAGTTTATTTAGTCAATACAAATAAAATGTTTTTTGGATTATTCAAATCGGACGCTCCGTTCTCTTAAAAACTGAGTTACCGTTTTCGGCACTTTTTGCCCCGTATCTTCGGAAGGCAGTAGCGACCTGCCTTCGCCAAAAACTAATCAGCATGTCTCCTTATCAATACGAATCGAATGTTTTTTGAATTATTCAAATCGGTTGATCCGTGTTCCCGAAATCGTCGACGAAAATTTGTATCCGCACGCACATACATAAACACACACACATACACACACACACATACATCCATTTTTTCTAAGGTATGCCAAAATATTCAGAAACCTCTGAAACGTAAAGACATATAAAAATTTTGATTTTCGATTTTTTTGCGATTACTATAACTTGCCCTACGGGAAGGTAATTATAGATACGATATTTGTTGTATTATTTATAAAATGTAAGTATAGTTCATATATTGGTTGAAGTGCTCAAGAAGTTTTCTTTACATAGATTTGTTGAAATTGGGTCACGTACGCATTCGAGACCATGTGACTTATTAATGTTTTTATTTATTACTAGATTATCAATCATAACTAGCTTATAGCTTATTTGATCAAGTCTGCGTTACTAATTATAAAAACACTAAAAAGACGTTGGCCACTGGCCAGGCGACCTCGAATGAAACACTAGACTTATCTCCATGGAATGAATTTTAATTATTATTTTTCTTCTAACTTTTTTCTCTCTTTTCATGTAACAATAGCTTACAAAATTTCATTGTAACTCGATTGCTACTTTAAAGAAACAAATAAAAAAAGATTATCAATCGGGACCAATAATGCTATAACTTTTGTTGCATGCTCTGTGTATATTACTACTGTAATGCGTACTAAAAAATTAAAGATCGCACGTTAAGCTTCATACTGCAACAAATTCTAAACCACTATGCAAGCAAACAAATCTATGAAGACACGGTAATTTGAATAAAATAATAACTGACTCTTCATCTATAATAGAACATTAACAACGAAAGGAAGGAAGCCGTAATGGCGAAGTATTAATTGTATAAATAACAGAACATTAGATATTCCTAGCACGCTCAACTTGTAAGCTGCCAGAGTACCGGAAATGCATTTTCTATGCAGCACTAGCGCATTCTATTTTGTTTCGCCGGTCTTTTTGACTTTTCAATTTCTGAATAAAGTTAATATAAAAAATGATTCTTTGAAAAATATTTAATACTATGATCAAATCCGTTTTCTTATATTAACTTCCTGTAAGTTATTGTAATCGTCCAAAAATCGAAATTAAATTTTTTTACATTTCTTCA